TCCCGAAGCACACTAAATAAGTGTGGAAGTTCTCCAAATATTTTATGAATTTTAATGTTCCTGAGGTTTTGTTATTTTTAAGTTAGGCATTTACCAGGTTGAACAAAACATTTCTTCTGCAGGAGGATATAGAACTGCATTTGAAGGACAGGGAAGATAAGGCTGATATTGCTTGCTGTATGCAGCATTTACCGGTAGGAAATATTTCCTATAGTGTTTTGCCACTCAAATGTTGGTTTGTGTCTTCTAATATGATGTAGAAACATACTATGTCTACTTGTAGCTTTGCTTTGAATCTGAGGAGAAAGTGAGGAGATTGTTGTACAATGTCTCATTGCTGCTGAAATCAGGAGGTTATTTTATTGGCATCACCCCCGACTCATCAACAATATGGTATGACAATTGCTAGTAATTTATGTTTGTTTACATGTTTGAAACTATTCTACTGGTATATCTATGCCTGATATTAGGCTTCCCTTTATTGTAAAATCTTATTGGAATGTATTACTTCATTGTTGAATGTCAACCTAATGAGAACATATATGGAATCTTTAAGTTGTTCTATTTTTTGTTAAATTGTCGACAAATGATTGGAAATAGATGAAGCGGGGAGAGTTTTGTTGTCTAGGGCTTGAAGGATGCCCTGGAGTACTAGCTGATTCAACCTGATTTTTTCTGGGTGCTAATTATAGTCCGGAGCTTGTAGTTGAACTTGTGACAACCACTAAAATGCTGCTTACTTTGAAGTAAGTTTGTTAATTGGTATGCTATCAGCTCTTTCCAGGTTTGAAAGGTTTTGCCTACATTAATCTTTACCTTATTGCTTAAATTAAAGGAATGAAGGGAATTGGAAAAGTTTTAATCTGTAGTGTTTCCCATAAATGTTTTACTTAGTTTCTGAGTTTTTCTAGCTAAGTATATGAAGTAAACAAATAATGAAGGTTCCCAGCTATAGGAGTCTGCCTTTGATGGATCATATCTGGTAATCAGCCTTGAGGTCCTCCATCGAGCCCATTCAATCCAAACCCCCCATCTTCTCTCTCAAAAAAAAGAAAAAAAGGAAGAAATGTTTCTGAAGTTCCTTTTTTCCAACTGTAGATTACTGGTCTAGAAGGTGAGATGACTTACACCTTGTTATGCTTATGCAATAATACTTTGTAGTTATATGGCAACGTGGGTTCTTTCCTTCCATTTCTTACTTATCATGTACATGTGTTTGCCTTTGGTGGTTTTCTTAAAGGAAAGAAAAGAAAAGATTTCTGTTTTTATTTCACATTTGAGATCGTTTATCGCATGATAGTGATTTCCTAGGTTATGCAGAGTATTAACATACTTGTAATCTATCACATATGTGCTCATGTTAGCTTGACAAAAATCAATTTAAGGTTTCAAGTCTTCTATGGCTATTTCAACTAGAATATAATGGCATAACCTTGTAGGAATAAGTACCAAAAAAATGTTGAAGCATACCACAACAAGAGTAGTGGAATGAAGCCCAACATAGTTCCTAACTGCATTAGATCTGAGAGCTACATGATCACTTTTGAAGGCGAGGAAGAGAAGTATGTTTCCATTTTAATACATTCTCAGGCTCAATTTCTTTGCACTACTTTCTCGTAACATTTGATTGTTTGTCATTAATTATGTAAATGGACTTCCAGGTTCCCCTTTTTCGGTAAAAAGTACCAGTTGAAATTTGCAGGCGATATTTGTGCTGAAACCCATTGCTTAGTCCATTTCCCAAGCTTGCTCAGGTTAATATTTTCTATTGTGATTATAAGCATATATCTCTTCTTATAGTTGTGATGATTCCATCCCAATATCCTATTGGGGTTGTTTGGAAAGTGTTTACACATCTAGGGCCCATTTGTTTCATCAGTATGTTTGGTAGCCTAAGCTTGTTAGTGTTTCACCCCCATCAAGTGCCCCTATAGCACGGGGAATAGCTCCCTTCAAGCAATATGTTTTTACTTCATCTTGTGTCCCCCTTGAGTCTATCATGCAAAGATGTTTCCATCAAATCATGTAATTGACCTTCAGAAGCTTAATAAGACAATGGCTAATCAAAGCTTGATAATAATAGTAAATAAGTCCTTGAATTTATAGTTTAGGGTATGTTTAGTAGTGATTGTGAGAATTGATTTTTTGACCGTTAGAAAGAAAGTGGGTCCTACCTGTGAGAGAAGAAGTTAAAAATGAGGGCTGACATAGAGAAGTAACAATAAAAAAAATTGATTTTTTGAGGTGAAAAATTAGAACCAAACATGCACTTAATCAATATCGCTGTGCATGAGAAAGCTCTGAATATTCGTAGATCAATGTATTTGTGAAACATAAAATCTATGTATTGGATAATTGTTTTATCGCAAGAATGCAATCAATATTTCATCAAACACAATCCTTTTATCTTACACTGTAAACTGCAACTTCCAACTTTTGTGGACACACTAGCACATTCTCTTTTTCCTGGGAAAAGGGTGGAGGGGTGGGGGAAGGAAGTTGCTACTCCTATCCATATGCTTTCATTGGTTAAATCCCTATTCAGGAGCTCCCACGAACTAAGACATGCATGATGCAAGTGTCTTCAAAATCTTTATATTTTTATTGATAAGCATCTCCTTTGGGATGCTTATTACCTGTTTTTCCTTTGACATTTTAATTTTCAGTTATGAGATTTGGCAATTATGTTCCATAGGTTGGCTAGAGAGGCTGGTCTTGAGTACATGGAGATAACAAACTTGACTGAATTTTATGACGATAATAGGTACTAGCTTTCTTTGAACTTTGTTATCTACTTTCTCTTACTTTGTTTATGATTACCCATAACTGTGCGGGTGATTGAAACAATCATCTTGTTTATTATAATTTTATTGTCAATTTTAAAGTTTTGATGCCATTTTGCATCTAAACGTTGTGCGCCACTAGGCCTCAAACGTAAGGTAAAGTTCAAACTAATTCACTACGATCAGTTTTAATAGACGGTTACATCAGCATTGTTCATTGACTTCTAATTATTTGTGAAAGATGTTTTCACTGGTCATGTTGTTTTATCTACAACACAGTAGCTATTGCAATTATGTCTGTAGCATAGCTGATGGATTATTATTGTGTTAGTTATTACTTTTTTCTCTAGAGTCCTATTGGCTAAAAAAATATCATATAACTCTTCTGCATTAGGTTAGACCAATTACATTATTGATCTTGTTTTGAGTTTCTATCAAATGTTTGATCTTGTGAAAAGTAATGAATAGTGTCTATTGTTCTCTATGGTGTTTTGACACAAAATACTCCATAGATTGTTTTTACCGGCAATCTATTACTTGTTAGGAACTCATGGGTGTATCAAGAGTTTTGAACGATACACATTTGTTACTTTATTGTGATGATTTGTGCTTGATAATTTTTTTTTTTTGATAAACACACTGAGTGTTCTGCTAAATAACGTCTAAGGAAATATTAATGCATTTTAGTTACCTGTTTCCAATTGTTAATTGTTGTAGTGTTGATAAATTGGAATTGGTTTTCACAAAAAAACTCTGCTTACTTTATTTTTTATTTTTTTTATTTTATTTTTTTCCTGCAGAGCACTTGAAATATTTGAATTCAATATAGCTCTTTGATGTCCTACTATAATTGAATAACTGGTTTTATGATAGGAAAGTGTTTCCAAAGCATGGTCCCTTTTTCTTTTTTTTTTACTGTACATAAACTCCCTTTTTAGATTGTCATTCTCACCCCACATATGGCTATAGTTAATTGGAGAGGAAATTCTAAATTTCTGAATGTAAACTCTAGTATGGACATTTTTTTGTCTCCTTTTCAGCTGCAATTTACATGAATTCTTTCTTCTTATATATTGAATTTTCTAAAAAAGTGATGCAGTTATTGGAAGTGCCGCATTAAGACAGCTATCTAGCATTTATTATTTAATGTGAAGTTAAAATTAATTGTTGACTTTAACTTAGATTTTAATCCACTTTTCTAGCTGAACGAAACAAAGGCTATAATGCTGTGTATTATTTTAGTGGAAAGGTCTGACTTCTGTTAACTTCCCTTTGCTCTTAAGAGCACAGTTTGCAGGTATGCTGATGGATGCTGGTCCCAACCTTGTTGATCCTAGAGGGAGACTTCTTCCCAGATCGTATGATGTTTTAGGTGATTCATTCACTACATGTCTTGTTACGTTAGAATTAACATCTTGTAACTTTTTTTATGTTTCTTGTGCATTTTTCTGAATCCTTCTGCAGGTCTGTACACCACTTTCATTTTTCAAAAGCCTGATCCAGATATTGCCCCTCCTCTCTCTACACCAGTGTTGGAAGATGGGAGCTACAGTCATGATGAGGCAAGTGTTCGTAAAATTAGAAAGAGTATCATGAGAAAGGGCCATCGTTTTAGGCGTAATTGATTACGTATCTGATTATGTGCTCCTTACCCAAAATGTCATCATCTTAAAGTAGATGCAGTCTTACTTTTGTAAGCAAAGATTTAACTCGTAAAAACAATGAATCTGACTTGTTTATGTCTTAAAGTCATACTGTGGTGGACATTTGACTACTTCACTGCCCTTTGAAGCACCATGAAAGTTAATACCATTTTGCTTCCATTGGTGCCATAAATTTATACCTCACTTATTGGGCATCTTAAAAGTTACACCTTTCAAGTAGATGCCGTGCTATATAGAACTTCAAAAGGAAAATAGAGTGAGAATATTACAAATCCCTTTTAACTAACCATGATGTTTATTCAGTTATGTGACAAATGATCATGCCCTAGCCATGAATTGAGCCTTAATAGTGGAATTAGGAAAACTAGTACTTCCATAGACATTGAAAAAAAAGTCTAAATTGCTTTCACATCATGGTTGAAGGTAAGAGCTGTAGAGATGTGGAAGTATTTGAATTTGGGTCCATGTATGAAATCATAACTCCAATGTTTTGTTGTTGGTATCAGTTATTTGCTGACAATTTAGTTTCAATCGCAGAGACTGGGGGCTGTAAATTCTAACTATTTGAACTTTACAGGACTATTGGGTTTCATTTTTTAGGAATTAAAAGAGAATATACGTAATGTCCTTTTACTCCAAATGTGAATAGGGACATTTTATCCTTGAGAGAAATTGTATCTGTTACTAAAGGTTAACTATTAATAAGGAAATAGGGATTTAATTTCACGTAGTGCATAAGATTAGAGCGAGTTGGATGAAACTGGGAAGTACTAGAGATCCTGTGTGATAAGTACTTACCAAGCCAAAAGTAGAATTTTATAGAGCAACTATTAAATTGACTATTAAATGAGGATATTAAGGTGTTGCTTGACAGAGTTTTTAATAAAAGTTTGAGTAATGTTGATAAAAGTTGATGAAATATATATGGTTGAAAAGTTTGATAAAAGTTATGAGTTCCTAAAATTTGTTGTTAAAATTGAAATTTGACTCATTGATATCAAAGAAGCATTGAGATGGAATGATGGCTACATTAGAATTGATAAAATAAAAAATGATTATTAATGCCAACAAGTGGAGGTGATACCAATTGAAGATAAACTGAGAGAAAAAGAGAGATGATTCAAATTGTTGGGACATCTATAAAATAAATATAAAGAAACTTCCATTCACAAGAGCATGTGTCAAGTGGAAAAAGTTAGAAAATTGAGAGTGTTATAACTTAATGCTGTGATATGGTTATAAAAGATTTGACTTCTTTGGAGCTTGCAAAAGAGAGCGTCCAAGTTGAATGGAATGGCGAAAGTGTTCATGAGCTTACCCAAGTTGATTAGTACTTTTTGTTACTAGAAAAAGGAAAAATAAACAACAAAAAAAAAGAAAGAAAGAAAGAGAAATTCAAACTTAACTTTATTTAGCTCTTGTTTGTCTACCATTCTCCAAAAACTCTTTTTTATAAAATTCATTTTCCACACATTCTCACCATAAAATTTGTTGCACGTAAACTCAAAATTTTTCCAACTTTTTAATCATACTATCCAAAAAAAACACTATTTCTAAACTCATTTTTCTCCACACAAAAAATAATAATAATAATAATTAAAAAAAAATTAAATAAAAAAAAATCTCTTTTTAATGGGCATTAAACAGGGGCTTAGTTACAACTATTTTGCTTGCTTTTTTTTTTTTAATTAATTAATAGAGTATTTTAATTTCCTAATACTTAACAAGTGTAAATAAAAAAAAAGTTAAAGAAAATTTGATTAAATCAATTGATAAAAAAGCGTCATCTCAACTTTGTCTCTCTTTATGAAACTATATGCATGACAAAGTTTTGGGATTTCAGAGGGAGGAAAAGGAAGATGAAACAATGTTTTAGTCTTTTTGTTCATAGTATCTTCCGATAGGATTGCAAATGAACCAAACCAATCAAAATTACAGATTATTAAAACTTGAGTTGCTTATTTAATGCCTTTTTTTCCCTTTGTTTGTGATCTTACTCCTATTTTCATATTAAAACATACTCTTTTAAAGGAATAAATTAGATTTCATAATTTTATTTAACTATTCAAAAATTTGTGACAATATTTCTAACAAATGGGAGAAAATCTGTAGACGTGAGAAAAAAGACTTGAAAAATATCTGTTATGAATAACTCAACTCAGGGAAGGCTTGTAGTTTTTGAAAAGAGATGAGGCGCCTTTGAAATGGCCCATTGTTTCGTGGGGTGTTTCTATAATTTGGACTTGAAATATATCTGTTATGAATAACTCAACTTAGGGAAGGCTTGTAGTTTTTGAAAAGAGATGAGGCGTCTTTGAAATGGCCCATTGTTTCGTGGGGTGTTTCTATAATTTGCTATTTATATCTGGATTGCATGACTTCTTAGATGGTTTTGTTTTGGATTACATAAAGATGAAGAATTAAGTTGCGTTATTTTATTTTATTTATTTATTTATTTTACTTCAGTTCATTTTACGGGCACCCCCACCCCAATGTGTCAATCCACCTTCGGGTACTGCTTTTGCTGCTTTATTGAAAGTCACTCGAAATATAGCTTGACATAAAATAGAAATGGGATTTGTTTTATTTTTATTGAATTTTTGCATGACTTGATGGAACTTAACGGGCTAATGAGTGTTTCCATGTTTCATAATATATTTAACCTGCATGTTGACTGATAAGCATTTAATTATGATAAATTGGACCAGGTGTATATTCTCTCTTCTAAAATATCTGGATGTGCTGGCCTCCTGCTCTTAAAGAATTTGCCTATTTATCAAACAAATGAATAATCTTAATGATAGGAAGTAAATTGAACCAAAGAAAGCATGCAGTAACAGAACCACTGTTTGATTTTCATTATATCTCACATAGTTTGTCATCTGTTTGCAGAATGTGTTTTAGGAACTGATAGACAAAGGAGATGATAAAGGAATGTATTTGCTCTTCCTTGTTAGTGAAGAGAAAAACGTGGACATCTTTGAATTTTGCAAACGTTTTGAAATACAT